AGCCAAGATAGCTGTGCACTTCACCCAGGTCTGTGCACGTGTGTCTCTTCTGCAGCTCGGACTTCACGTGGGCGAGTCCAGCACTGTCAGCAGTGGCAAAGACCAAGTCATTGACGTACAAGAGGATGTAGAACGGCGGCAAAGAGGTGTCGGTGCAAACCCAAGAGCCGCAAGTGTAGTCCTCAGTGTGTCGTGCCACTCATGGGGCGCCTGGCGGAGACCGTAGACTGGCCGCCGGAGGCTCCACTGGGTACCAGGAACAAACGACCTAGTGAAGCCAGGTGGGCGGCGCAGCCAGATCTCCTCGTGCAGGCTGCCCTGCAGGAAAGCTGTGCTGAAGTCAAGAGAGTGAAGCTCGTAGTCGCGCTGAGCGGCTATGTGCAGCAGCACCCGAAGAGTGGTCATCTTCGGGGTGGGAGAAAAGGTCTGAAAGTAGTCAACTCCCTGCCGCTTATTGAAGCCTCGAGCCACGTAACGCGCCTTGAAGACAGACGGAGAACCCGGCGGCCGCTTCACCCTGAAAATCCACATGCCACTGACGATGTTCGTCCCAGGTGGGGGGACCTCGTCGACGTTGGTGCGTGTGGACTTCCAGGAAGCCATCTCTGCGTCCATGGCTGATTGCCACTGAGAGGAGTAGGGACCACGTCCACAACCACGTCCACGTCCACGTCCACGACCACGTCCACGTCCACGTCCAAGTCCACGTCCAAGTCCGATCGAGGAGTCGGGATGTCTGGTGCATCCGGGTCTCCCTCAGGGGCAATCAGCGTGGACACAAGATGAGGCAAAGCAGCAGCAAAACACTGGAAGTCCTCCTGCCTGTCCTCAAGGACGTCCGTGCTAAGAGCACACCCACCCACGGACGGAGGACAGATAGACTCGGACTCAGCAACAAGACTAGTGGCGTAGTCTAGACGACAGCGAGCAGCGAAGTCGACAAGCTCAGCCACTAAGGCAGACGCAGCAGTGAACTCAAAGGAAGGGTCAGTGACAGCAGTGGCCAGGAGACGTGTGAAAGTAGGACTGGCAGCACGAAGAGAGTCAGACTCAGGGTCAGCAAGGACAGGAAGAGAGGACTCTGGAGGAGACGACAACGGGACACGCAGAGGAGCAGTGGAAGGACGCAGTGCCATCTGGTGTGTGCCTGGGACCGCAAGAGGACGCAGACGCGGAGCACGACGACTAGTGCGAGCAGCACGAACAGGCGACGCAGGACGAGACGCAGGCTCACGACGCTCAGCAAGACCTCCAGTAGGACCAGTGTAGGGAGAAGGAGCAGGTAGAGGGGAGGCGGGCTGTAACTGTGACTGCGACTGGACAGGCTGTGGACACTCTAAGGGAGGAGCAGGACCAGTAGAAGGCGGGAGACCAAGAACGTGCTCAAGGAGCGGAACGAAGTACGGCCGCGGCCGCGCAGCGCCTCCAGAACCAGCAGGAACAGCACCAGTACCCCCAACGGCAGCACCAGCGCTAGCAGCACCTCCAGCTCCAACAGCACCAACGCCAGCACCCTCAGACGCACCAGCGCCAGCAAAACCACCAGAGCCAACACCCCCAGCAGCTCTAGCTCCAGCAGCTACAGCAGCACCAACTCCAGCAAGACCGGCAGCTCCAGTACCGCCAGCAGCTTCAGCAGGACCAACTCCAGCAACCCCAGCAGCACCCCCAGGCCCAGCAGCTCCAGCACCGCCAGTACGAGCACCTCCGGGACCAGTAGCAACAGTAGTACCTCCAGCTCCAGCAGCACGGCTCCAGCGCCGGGCAAACCACTCGCGCAGCTCCTGTGGAGAGAGTGGCTCCCGCCTCGACGAAGCACCGCCGGCGGCCACACGAGCAGACCCAGCACCCCCAGGCTCCGCACCCCCAGGCTCCGCACCCCCAGGCTCCGCACCCCCAGGCTCAGCACCTCCAGACTCAACACCCCCAGACTCAGCACCCCCAGTCTCAGCACCCCCAAGCTCAGCACCCCCAGACCCGGCACCTGCAGGCTCAGCACCTCTAGTAGCACCAGAGTCAACAGCTACCTCGACAGGCTCGACTGCGTCTACCTGGGACACACCTGACGGGGCAGGACCCTGAGGGGGGAGGGGGTCTACCGGGGGAGGACCTGGTGCAAGGAAGAGCGGCGGCGGGGGAAGGGGCGCGGCTCGGTAGGGGAAGAGATGGTAGTAAGGCACCGACTCGTCAAAGGTGACGTCTTGGGAGGACAGAACACGGCGCAAGGTGGGGTGGTAAAACTGTCAACCAGGCGCGTTAGGGGGGAAGCCAAGGAAGACGCAGGGAACAGCACGGGGGGAGAGCTTGTCCGCAGACAAGTCGCGGACAAACGCCCGAGATCCCCAGACCCGAAACGCACACGCATTGCCGACCTTCCCCGTCCACGGCAAGGTGTGGGAGGTCTCTGGCAAGGAGACTCGGGGCTGAAGGTTGAGCTGATGCGCCGCGTACTGAACTGCAAACGGCCACAGAAAATGGGGGGCAGCCGCATGGATCATGGACGTACGAGCGACGTCCATGACCACGCCAATGCGGCGCTCAGCGATCCCATTTTGCTGTGGAGAGGCCGGAAGCGTAAAGGTCTGGCGGATGCCCTGTGCACGACAGAAGGCTCCCAGACGGGCAGAGGAAAACTCCCCGCCTCTGTCAGAGTGCAGACGCAGAACAGGAGAGTCGCAGCCGAAACTCTCTTTGAGCTGGAGACGAGCTGCGCGGATCCAATCGATCAACACATCAGTGACGTCGCCCTTGCTGCGCAAGGGGAAGGCCGTGGTGTAACGCGAGTAGCCGTCAATCACCAACAGGAAGTAACGCTCGTGCCCCTGGCCACGGACGCGGGCGGGGCTCCACACGTCCATGTGAAGAGTCTGCAACGGAGCCTCTGTCGGAGGAAACTCGGAGGAGTGAGGGGCGGCGCGATGTCGCCCCTCGACGTAGGGGACGCAGGTAGGGGCAGGCCCCGGAGGTAGAGGAGGGAGAGACTGGGGGAGACCAGAGACAAGGACACGGGAGGCGATGCCTCGGAGACGAGGCAGAGAGGGGTGACCAAGGCGGTGGTGCCAAAAGAGATTCTGGTGAGATTGGAGACGACACGAGCAGGGAGCAGACTCAGGACTAGACCTGGACGCTGCAGCAAACACCTGACTCGACGCAGCAACCTGACCAGGCTCAGCAGCCAGAGGAGACTCAGTAGTGAGGGTGTACAGGCTCGACCCTGGCCGACGGGTGAACGTGGCCAAGTGTCGGCCTGTCCGAGCACACGTGCAGTGGGTCACCCGCTGACTCGCAGGAGTGAACAGGTCAACCCCCTTATCTTGTAGATCAGCGCCACTCACCAAGTTCGTAGAGACCGAGGGGAGGTAGAGACCTGACAGGGTGCCAGAGGGGGCTGCCGGGCACGGTAAGACAGTGGAGAAGCAAGCAAGGACAGGACCCCCAGAGGGGTCCGCCAGGGAGACCGCAACCGGCCGACTAAGCGGCGTAAGTGTGGTGCGGTCCCGAAAGAAGGAGCGGGAAGCACCCGAGTCAAGGGTGAAGGTTTGTAAGGCCTGAGCCGACGTGGTACCTGAGAGGGCAGACTCACTTGCACCTGGGGCAGCAGACGCGCTAGCACCTAGAGCAGCAGCCTCACCAGCACCTAGAGCAGCAGGCTCAATGCCCGGGTCAGGCGGAACACACAGGTATCAATCACCCTCAACACTATCAGCAACAGCATACATGGCACTAAGAATAGCATCAAAATCAAGATAAAAGATAGCAACCCCCGCCCTAGACAGCTCTCCCCAGCGAGGGATCTCAGAGGCCCCAGGGAACTGGTAACGCCACGCGTCCGTCATGCGGCCGAAGCAGCGCTGGATGGAGTGCGGGCCCCCGCACTGCTCACCAGTGCGGTCGCCGGTGCGGAGAACGTAGGTGCAGGGATCCGTACCCCGACCGCGCTGACGCGCAGCGTACCACTCACGAAGCTGCTGAGGGGACAGGGTCTCACGACTGCGGTGCTGCTGCCGGCGCGTACCACCACCGGAGCCACTCCTCTGCGCAGAGCTACGACCAGGTCCACTGCTGCCGCCGCCGCCTCCGCCACCTCCGCCGCCTCCGCCGCCTCCACCACCTCCGCCGCCTCCGCTCCCTCCGCCACCGCCGCCGCCTCCTCCGCCTCCACTGCTGCCACTGACACCTCCACCCCCGCCACCACTCCCACCACCACCCCCACCCCCTCCACTGCCTCCACCATCACCTCCACCGCCCCCGCCAGCCCCTCCAGCGCCCTTGCCCCCCTTGCCCTTGCCGGTGCGGCGTCTCCCGCTTGGGGCAGACGCAGCGCCGACCGACTCGAAACCAACGAGGTCGGCCGCAGCAGAAGAGGCAACAGAGGGCAAGAGGGGGGAGGGGGAACACCCCTCAAAGACGGGGGTGCAAGGGTCACTACAAGAGGCTCCTACAGCGACTATGCTCTTCTCTGCTGCTAGGAGGCCCTTCTCGAGGAGGTCAACGGTGAGAGTGGTGGGGCAAACTGAGAGGAAGTGGTCCCTGACTACGCGGAGAGAGTCAGGGAGCCGGGTGACTATGTAGTAGAGGGTGACACTGGGGGTAGCCATGACTGCAGTGGCCTAGAAGGGAGTGAGCTCACCAGTCCGAGGAAGGAGGGCCGGGGCGCACCGGTAGGAACAGCAGCGGCTCGACAGTAGGGCGGCTCGGCGGCTCGGCGGCAGGGCGGCTCGGCTGCTGGGCGGCTCGGCTGCTGGGCGGCTCGGCGGCTCGGCGGCTCGGCTGCTGGGCGGCTCGGCTGCTGGGCGGCTCGGCTGCTGGGCGGCTCGGCTGCTGGGCGGCTCGGCTGCTGGGCGGCTCGGCTGCTGGGCGGCTCGGCTGCTGGGCGGCTCGGCTGCTGGGCGGCTCGGCTGCTCGGCAGGTGAGCGGTTCGGCTGCTCGGCAGGTGGGCGGCTCGGCTGCTGGGCTGCTCGGCGGCTCGGTCGCTGGGCGGCTGAGCGGTGACAGGGCCGCTAGGGAAGGGCGATGGGGCCGCAGGTGACGGCGACGGGGCCGCAGGTGGCGGCGACGGGGCCGCAGGTGGCGGCGGGGCCGCATGTGGCGGCTGCGTGGCCGCAAGTGGCGGCGATGGGGCCGCAGGTGGCGGCGACGGGGCCGCAGGTGGCGGCGACGGGGCCGCAGGTGGCGGCGACGGGGCCGCAGGTGACGGCGACGGGGCCGCAGGTGGCGGCGACGGGGCCGCAGGTGGTGGCGACGGGGTCTCAGAGGGGCCGCAGAGGGGCCGCAAGGGGCCTAGACGGGGCCGTAGAGGGGGGCGCAAGGGGCCTAGACGGGGCCGAAGAGGGGCCGCAAGGGGCCTAAACGGGGCGGCGACGGGGCCGTAAGGGGCCGGAAAGGGCGCCGCGAGGGGCCGAAAGGGGGCCGCGCGAGGGCCGTAAGGGCGGCGTGAGGGGCCGTAAGGGGCCGTAAGGGCAGCGCAAGGGGCCGTAAGGGGCCGTAAGGGCGGCGCGAGGGGCCGTAAGGGGCCGTAAGGGCGGCGCGAGGGGCCGTAGAGGGCGGCGCGAGGGGCCGTAAGGGCGGCGTAAGGGGCCGTGAGAGGGGCCACTAAGGATGGCGCGAAGGTAGGGAGGGCACACAGAGCGCGACTCGGGCAGGAGTGAAGCGCGCTCTGGGCAGGAAAAAAAATATCGTGGTGGGCCCTAGGTAGCGTTCCCACTAGGGAACCTGCTCGATACCATGATAAGAAACGAGGAATGAATGAACTATCACAAGGTTGGGTACAAGTAGGAAACCCTAGGAAACTGTACCCCATAGTGTCTACCCCACTATAGCCTAGACAAGCTATATGATATAAGTTTGACACCGCTTGCCGCTTGCTGTCATCACGCCGTTCGTGACGGTTTCTTTCAAGCCTAACCACGATGAAGGTAAGTGCAATTTTGTTTTCAAGTTCCTAGTTTCTACTTCCTTTTACTTACTTTTGAGAAAACACTAATTGATTCGTCGTTTTCTGCAGATCCGCTTCGCGATATGGAGACATGTAGACATGGAGACATGGCCGAGAGTGGCGCTTCTCTCATCGCACGACGTCGCTTTGACGCGAGTGGCGCTTCTATCGTAGCAAGCGATGCTTGCATCGTCCCGAGGGGATTTCAAGGCATGGTGCTTCCATCGTCGCGAGGGTCGCCTTCATCGCCGCATGGCGTTAGGTGACGTCGCGTTCCGCTGATGACGGTTGTAACGGTTCCACTAACGGCTTCCCTTGTTCCCTGTAGATGGTGAGGAGATCCGTCGATGGCGCTTCTCCCGTCGCGTGGCGTCGCTTCGTCCGAGGCATGGCGACGAGTCTCCCATCGCACAGCGTCGCTTAGGCGGGGGCATGGTGACTCTTCACCCGTCGCGCGGCGACGCCTCTCAGATTCGTCGTCGTTTTTTGTTTGTCATCTTCCGTTTTGTCATTTCCGTCACGTTATCTTTCTTCGGCCTTTCTCACTCGTTGCATGGCGTGGTCGATGGGCAGCCTCCAGCAATGAAGAAAGGCCAAGACGTCAGCGTCAACGTTAACGTCAACAACCAAGACGACCAAGGTTACGACCAAGACCACGACCAAGACGGCCAAGACAGGACCAAGACGGCCAAAACATGACCAAGACGGCCAAGACTTGACCAAGACAGCCAAGACTTGACCAAGACGGCCAAGACTTGACCAAGACGGCCAAGACTTGACCAAGACGGCCAAGTCTTGACCAAGACGGCCAAAACCAACGTCTACGTCAATGACAATTTACTATCTTTCTTGTCAAATTATAATGTTGTGTAGGCTGTAGTGGGGTAGCCTATATGGGGTACACAATGTTAGGGTTGCATACTTGTATCACTTTCATTCCTTAGTCATTCATTCTCGTTTCTTCTCATGGTATCGAGCAGGTTCCCTCGTGGGAACTGTTCCTAGGGCCCACCAAGTCGATTTTTTTTTTCCTGCCCGGAGCGCACTTCGCTTAGGCCCGAGTCGCGCCTCGTGTGCCCTCTCTACCGTCGCGCCCGTCCTAGGCCTCCTTCGGCCCCGTCGCGTCGCCCCTAGCGGCCTCCCTTGCGCCGCCCTTACTCGGCCCGTCGCCGCCCTTCGCGGCCTGACGCCGCCCTCTGCGGCCCGTCGCCACCCTAAGCGGCCCGTCGCCACCCTAAGCGGCCCGTCGCCGCCCTTGCGCCGCCCGTCACGGCACGCCGCCGACCTCCGCGGCCCCTCGCGCTGCCCTCACCCGCGGCCCTGCCACCTACCTGCGGGCGCGCCACCCTACCAGCGGCCCCGCCGCCCTTACCTGCGGCCCCGCCGCCCTTACCTGCGGCCCCGCCGCCCTTCGCTGCGGCCCCACCACCTTACCTGCGGCCCCGCCGCCCTTCGCTGCGGCCCCGCCACCTTACCTGCGGCCCCGCCGCCCTTACCTGCGGCCCCGCCGCCCTTACCTGCGGCCCCGTCGCCTGCTGCTGCGGCCCCGCCACCTTACCTGCGGCCCCGCCGCCCTTACCTGCGGCCCCGCCACCTTACCTACGGCCCCGCCGCCCTTCGCTGCGGCCCCGCCACCTTACCTGCGGCCCTGCCACCTTACCTGCGGCCCCGTCACCTGCTGCAGCGCCGCCCGCCACCCGAGCTGCCCTAGCCGCCATACCCAGCCGAGCAGCCGACCGCCGCGCCGCCCTGCAGTCGAACCGCCGAGCAGCCCAGCCGCCCAGCAGCCGAGCTGCAGAGCCACCCAGCCGCCGAGCCGCCGAGCCGCCCAGAAGCCGAGCCGCCCAGCAGCCGAGCCGCCCAGCAGCCGAGCCGCCCCACAGCCGAGCCGCCCAGCAGCCGAGCCGCCCAGCAGCCAAGCCGCCTGCACCGCCAAGCCGCTCGAGCCGCCCTGTCCGGTTAGAGTAGCGCCTCTTTCTCCGCACTGCCCTTACCCTACTATTTACGCTGCTAGTCTACTTCTGTCATGGCTACCCCTAGTGTCCTCGCTTTTGACGCTGAGGGTAGGGCCATTGACTTTGACGTCTGGATAGATGACCTGCAGCTTTTCTTACAGTGCGATAAGGCAGACGGACTCTCTCTCTTTGACCTCACCTCTGGTGCCTCTCCTGCCCCTGCTGCTGATGCTGACGCCACTGTTCGCTCACAGTGGGCCACGCGCAATGTTGCTGCACGTCTTGCTGTGCGTCGCCACCTGCCTACCTCTGAGCGTGCGCACTTTAGCCAGTACAAGAGTGCTCAGACCTTGTACGACGCTGTAGTTGCACGCAACTCCACCCCTGCCACTGCTGCACTGAGCTGCCTCATGCTACCGTACCTCTTCCCTGACCTTGCTGCCTTTCCCACAGTCGCTGACCTCATTACGCACCTCCGCACTAGTGACACTCGCTACCGCGCTGCGCTTTCAGCTGAGTTCTGCGCCAAGAACCCCCCCCCCATGTACATCACTCTCTACTACATAGTCACCCGCCTCCCTGACTCTCTTCGCGTAGTCAGGGAAACTTTCTCTCAGTCTGTCCCACCACTCTCACTGTTGACCTCCTCGAGAAGCCCTCCTAGCGGCGGAGAAGAGCATAGTCGATGTAGGGGCCTCTCGTGGTGACCCGCGCACCCCCATCTTTGAGGGGTGTTCCCCCTCCCCTCTTTTGCCCTCTGTTGCCTCTGCTGCTGCGGCCGACCTTGTTGGTTTGGAGTCGGTCGTTGCGGCGTCTACCTCTAGTGGGAAGCGTCACTCTGGCAAGGGCAAGGGGGGCAGGGGCACTGGAGGAGCTAGCGGGGGCGGTGGAGGTGGAGGTGGAGGCGGCGGGGGGAGTGGGGGTGGCGGTGGGGGTGGAGGTGGGGGAGGAGGTGTCGGCGGTGGCAGTGGAGGCGGAGGCGGCAGCGGCGGTGGCGGTGGGAGCCGAGGTGGCGGAGGTGGCGGAGGTGGAGGAGGTGGAGCTGGTCGGGGTGGCGCTTCGCAGAGGGTCGGCTCCGGCAGTGGTCAGCGCCCGCAGCAGCAGCAGCAGCGCGCTCGTGAAACCCCCTCCCCTCAGCAGCTCCGTGAGTGGTACACTGCTCCCCAGCGGGGTGGGGGTGCTGGTCCGTGCACCTACGTCCTGCGCACCGGCGACGGTGCGGGTGAGCAGTGTGGGGGTGCGCACTCCACCCAGCGCTACTTTGGCCGCCTAACGGACACTTGGCGTCACCAGTTTCCAGAGGCCACGGAGATCCCTCGCTGGGGTGAGCTGTTTAGGGCGGGGGTGGCTATCTTTGATCTTGACTTTGATGCTATTCTTGCTGCCATGTATGCTGTGTCTATTAGTGATGAGGGTGACTATTACCGGTGTTTCCCGCCCAACCCGGGCATTGAGACTGCTGCTCTAGGTACTGGTGAGGCTGCCGCTCTAGGTGCTAGCGAGGCTGCTGCTCTAGGTGCTAGTGCGTCAGCTCCCTCAGGTGCTGGTGAGTCCGCGCTCTCAGGTACCGAGTCGGCTTCGGCCTCCCTCACCTTCACCCTCGACTCGGGGGCGTCTCGCTCCTTCTTTCGAGACCGTACCACACTCACGCCGCTTGGTTGGCCAGTTGCGATCTCTCTGGCAGATCCCTCTGGGGGTCCTGTCCTTGCTCACTTCTCCATTGTCCTCCCGTGTCCGGCGGCTCCCTCTGGCACCCTGTCTGGTCTTTACCTCCCCTCGTTCTCTACGAACTTGGTGAGTGGCGCTGACCTTCAGGATGGGGGAGTTCACCAGTTCACTCCTGCGAGCCAGCGGGTGACCCACTGCACGGACGCTCGGACAGGCCGACACTTGGCCACATTTACTCGTCGACCGGGGTCGAGCCGGTACACACTGACCACTGGGTCTCCTTCAGTCACTGCGTCTGGGCAGGTAGCTGCGTCGGGTCAGGTGTTTGCTGCAGCGTCCAAGTCTGGTCCTGAGTCTGCCCCCTGCTCGTGTCGCCGCCTGTCCCACGAGACTCTTCTCTGGCACCACCGCCTTGGTCAACCCTCCCTGCTTCGTCTCCAAGGCATGGCCTCTCGTGTCCTTGTCTCTGGTCTTCCCCGGTCCCTCCCTCCCCTTCCTCCGGGGCCTTGCCCTATCTGCGTCCCCTGCGTCGAGGGGCGGCAGCGGGCTGCCCCTCACTCCTCCCAGTTTCCTCCGACATAGGCCCCGCTGCAGACGCTTCACATGGACGTGTGGGGCCCGGCCCGCGTCCGTGGTCAGGGTCACGAGCGCTACTTCCTGCTGGTGGTTGACGACTACTCGCGTTACACCACAGTCTTCCCCTTGCGCAGCAAGGGTGATGTCACTGAGGTGTTGATCGACTGGATCCGCGCAGCTCGTCTCCAGCTCAGGCAGAGCTTCGGCTCGGACTTTCCTGTTCTGCGTCTGCACTCTGACAGAGGCGGAGAGTTCTCCTCTGCCCTTCTGCGAGCCTTCTGTCGTGCACAAGGCATCCGCCAGACCTTCACGCTTCCGAACTCTCCACAGCAAAATGGGATTGCTGAGCGCCGCATTGGCATGGTCATGGACGTCGCTCGTACGTCCATGATGCATGCGGCTGCCCCCCATTTTCTGTGGCCGTTTGCGGTTCGGTACGCGGCGCATCACATCAACCTTCACCCCAGGGTCTCCAGGCCGAACACCTCCCCAGCCCTCCTGTGGATGGGGAAGGTTGGCGATGCGTCCGCATTCCGTGTCTGGGGATCTCGGGCGTTTGTCCGCGACTTGTCTGCGGACAAGCTGTCCCCTCGTGCTGCTCCTTGCGTCTTCCTGGGTTTCCCCCCTGACGCACCAGGGTGGCAGTTCTACCACCCCACCTCTCGCCGTGTTCTGTCCTCCCAGGACGTCACGTTCGACGAACGGTCCCCTACTACCGTCTCTTCCCCTACCGCACTCCGTCCCTCCCCCCGCCACCGCTCTTCCTTGTGCCAGGTCCCCCCCCGTTAGACCCCCTCCCCCCTCAGGGTCCCGGTAGACACTTCTTTGCCGCCGTTCTACATCCTCGTGTACGTCGACGACTTGGTCTTCGCCACAGCTGACAGTGCTGGACTCGCTCACGTTAAGTCCGAGCTGCAGAAGAGACACACGTGCACAGACCTGGGTGAAGTGCGCAGCTACCTTGGCTTGCAGATCACCCGGGACAGAGCACGCCGCACCATTGCCTTGACTCAGTCACACATGGTGCAGCAGGTCCTTCAGCGCTTCGGCTTCACGTACTCCTCGCCTCAGGCCACTCCTCTGCCTACTCGCCACTCGCTCTCAGCTCTGCCTTCGGATGAGTCCGTAGAGCCGAGTGGCCCGTACCCAGAGCTTGTTGGCTGCCTCATGTACCTGATGACCTGCACACGACCTGACCTTGCATACCCTCTTAGCATCTTAGCACGCTATGTTGCTCCTGGGAGACACAGACCAGAGCACATGGCTGCAGCAAAGAGGGTGTTGCGCTACTTGTGCAGTACGTCGGGCATGGGGCTTGTGCTTGGAGGGCAGAGTCCAGTGGTCCTCACTGGGCACGCTGACGCTTCTTGGGCTGACGACCAGGCTACGCAGCGGTCGTCACAGGGTTACACCTTCAGCCTTGGTTCCGGCTCTGTTTCGTGGCGGGCTACCCGCTCGTCCTCTGTTCTCGGCTCCAGTTGTGAGGCTGAGATCTACG